TTCTTATATCTCACAAAAAAAAATGATTTTATAACTTTATTGCCTTTTAAGAAGATATTTTATATTTTTATTATAATGAATGAATGAACAATATTAGCAAATAGGGGGTTCTACTCCACTTTGGTAAAATCATTATTCTTTTATGTGAGAATTAAGAATTTAAGACCCTAACATGGACTTATTTGGACTTGCCTCAAGGGCGTGGTAAGGGGTCCGGGGATGGAGCCCCTGGCCCAGCCGCTAGGTTCAAAAAAAGCAAAAAAGCGTAAAATTTTAAAAAGGCACACGGCCACACACTTGGGCTGAGGCACTAGGCGCACCAGGCGTGCACCTTTTTGAAAGGGCTGCGCCTAGGACCTAGGCGAGGCGCATACCCAAAAATGCACCTCGCCTTTGTGCCTAGGCACGCCTCAGGCACACCTTTTAAATCACTAGCATTACCCTACGCCATTGACACTTTGAGAAGCAAAAGAAAAGCCACCAGAGTAGAGAATTCCTTCAAACACATGGCTAAGGACTAACTAAATTTTAATTCTAAAGAAAAATGTATAGTGGTGGGGGGGTCCCCCTCTAACTTAAACATAGCGTTGTCTCTCAATTCAAGTAAAAAGAAATGACTCATTCTTCAATGACAAATCAAATCAAATTTAGTTCCCTAAAACAAAAACTCAGAAAAAATCTTTCAAGAGATTGTACTAGTGTGGACCTCATCCTTTTAGATAAAGTGAGTTGTTTAACTACAAATCAAACCTAATCTGATGGGAGGGGAAAAAATGGAACTCAGACTAAATGCTTCAAGTCTCACAAATGGATAGTGGGTTATAGAAGTAAAGGATGTTGGTAATCTGATCAAGAGATTAGAACTGCTTGGCCAATGTCTAGTTGAAATATTCTTTTTTTTTTTGAAGTATTAACAATGATCTAGTAGAAGGATTATTAGGAACATCATGTTGAGCCTCACGGGAGTGGAAGCTAGGCTATCCAGTTGAGGTAAGATCTAGAGATGGTGGGTTCTTGTTTTGATTGCAGACAAACGAAGATGCTTTGGACATTCTAAATTGGGAATGATTGCAGTATTGGCACCTTGAGTCCCAAGTTGATTGTTGGGTTAGTTAGTGGGTTGTATAAAAAATGATAGGCGCTAAAAGTTATATTGGACCCTCCACACTTGGTGTATTCAGACCTTCAAGTCAACCAGAGGTTTTTCTGGCAGGTTTATTGCTGTGGTAGGAAAAAATTTTTTGGAGTTTTATTAGAAAGGTGAGGATCCTTGTATAAACAGAATATATAACTACAATACCTTTAGATATCAACTTGATATTTCCTAGCAAGAAGTATGAGCTAATTAGACACTCCAGGTCCATGTAAAAAACTCAAAAAGGTTTGTAAAAGCAAGGGCAGCAAGGCTAACTGTCAGACAGTTGGATTAATCTCAGAACACTCGAATACAGTTCATATGACCATATCTGTTGGAGTGAAGCTGACAAATGATATAGGTAATGGTAATTTGTTATGTGCGCAGGCTCAAGGACTGTGTCAACTAAAAGAGGGTGATCCTGTTTTGGAGGAGGAAATGATGGTTCAGTTATCATAAAAACAGAAAAGGGAACTACGGAAATGAAAGAACCAAACATAGCCCTGAGAGAAGGCCCACATCTAATATAATGGTGGATAACTATGTAAAATATAAGGACATAGATAAAGAAGTTCATGGGGAAGAATTGGAAAATATCAAAGAAGTTGAGAAGCAGGATGACAATGCTAAAACAGTGGTCAAGGAACTAGAAAGAAGTGATGAAGTAGCAGCTGATCAGCTGATGATTTGTAAAAAGCGTTTGGCATTTGGCAGTGTATTAGGGTGATAGAAAAGCCTAGATATGAGGATTTTGGGTGTTTTCAGTAGTGGTTGTTTCACAGTGAGGGGAGGGATGTGAATTTGTTCATTATTTGGGAGAGAATAAAGTTGGACAGTGGATTGCAGGTTAACTAAGGGCTAAGGGGATGGAGATTAGTTGAGGGGTTTTATGATTTATGGCATTGGTTCCTCACTTTTCTATTCAGCAAGGTGGATGGTTGGTTAAGTGATGGATTCCATGGTGGTGGGAAATTTAATGTCGTTTATCTTTTTGTTGGCAGTGATATCTTATCACCTTGTCTGTGTATTCTTTCTCTTATTCTTTTAACAACTACTTTCCTTCTTTGCTAATGAAACAAGCAAATTACAAAAGTGCCACTAAAATCGGAAAAAAAAAATAGAATTCAAATATTTTCCGTGTATACCAATTGTGGAACCCACTTCACCTTTTCAGGTCCTTTCTTCCTTTCATCTCAAGCTGATCTGACCACGCAGATATTCATGCAGCATACACATATATGTGTTTATATGTTCTCTTTTTAGGCATTACAATGTGTAAAATATGTATTAAGAATGAGAAAGGTACAATTAACAGTTTGCCTACTTCCATAGAACAGGAAGTGAAGCCAGGCAAGGTATTCAAAGCTTAAACATTGAGCTCAACTATTTGCTTAATGAGAATTATTAAAAAATGCAATAGAATCACCACAAATAAAAATAAAATTGCAATATGTTATTAACCTCATAGAACAAGCAAGGTACCAACCAGCAGGTTGGTAAGGTCTCATGCCCGCCTGCACCTGGGTTGGGGGATAGAAAGAGAGAGAGAGAGAGAGAAAGAGACAGAGAGAGCATAGAACCGTACAGCATACAGAACAGACAAGTGATAAATCCTAATCTATCATGTAGCATATAAAACAGACACAAGGGCCATGCTTCTATATGTAGCATATAGAAGAGACAGGTGCAAGAATCCTGAAAACCAAAGATCCCTAGAATAACCATATTGCAGAGGAAAGAGCTTCTGTTTCTATAGTGAACTGCTTGTTCGATGGATCTTTAAGCCTGCTAATCTGCTAGTAGACAATTTATCTCGGAGTGGGGGGTATAGGACCAAGGAATATTGAGGTTCAGAGCTCCCGAACTAGATTAGGATGCTTTTTTGAAAGGGCAAAGGCCATTTTTTCCCTACTTAAGGCTCAGTCTGTGATTCATTTTGGGTGGCATTGTTTCTCTTTTGTTGTCTTTGGCAGCCCTTCATCCCTAAGGGCTTGATCTCTAATTTTTCTATAATTTCTAATGCCTTTTATGCGATACTCTCAATCCTCACAAAGTAACCAGTACTAGCTGCATGAGAGCACATCAGCATCATCTTTACTCACCTAAAAAATCAGGAAGTTCTATTAAATCCAAATTGGAGATCCCTCAAGATCACCTCAACAACAGAAATAAAATATAGACAAAACAATTACTTATTCTCTGAATCATTCTGTGAATGCTTCCTTTCCGCTTAACTAGTTCCACTCAAGAATCATGATATTAGACCTCACTGTGATACATTCACTTCCCAATTCATGATTCCTTGTTGCACCAACATGCAGTTGCATAATCAAAATTATCCAGTCAGTCTTTGCTGTTACCACACCATACAGATTGTGTAGAAAAAAAAAATGTTGCAGGATCATTTAATTTAAAAAAAAAAAGAAAGAATGACATTGCAGCTTCTGGTCACCCTCCAACCCAGCAGACATATCCATTATCAATTTAAACATTAAATCCTTGTGGCCATCACCTACAATGTTGCCAGAATCAGCTATCTGGAAGGTCTCACAAAATTCAGTGACCCATTATTGGTAGCTAAAATGATTGATTGAGGACCTTCTCCATGGAAATCAATTAATTAGTTCTATGTATTAGGTAGTAATTATCTTATCAATAAAAATGTAAGTAGTCATCCTTAATCTTGTAACACAGTCTACTTTATCCTTCTCAAGGGATTCATTAGCCACATTAAAGCAAGATCAGACAAATGAAAACTATTCTAAGCAACACTCTTTAGCAGATGCTGCATCACTCAGAGTACTTCCCACGACAGTGGAGTTTCCAGAATTGGCAATAAAATCATAGAACGTTCATGTTTTGACTTTGTCCACCTTAATGCTGCAGTTGAGAGCAGCACAAACCAGAGTATTATGCTAAAACCATCACTTATTTCTGCTGACAATATGATTTTAGGGGATTACTCATAGAGCTACAGAGGGCATGATGTAAAGCAATGTGGATGCGAGAAATTAGAAAATGGCATATCGTGGACTACAGGATCCTTGAATATCTTCACAGTAACAAATCAACAGAGCACCAAAAGAAACTTCTTCCTTCCTAGCCCTAAATAATATTATCAATTATTCGCTTGAACATAAACCAACTATGATATCAAGAATTTGGAAGGGTCTCCAGAGCTGACTTTTAAGAACTCCTGTATTGCCAGGCTAGATTCTGTAATATTTCTCTTAATCCTTGAGTATTAGAATTTTGCCTTTTGGTTTTGGTTCATTTTTGTGATCTGCATATGTGTCTTTTGATCACTTTTGGACTCAGCACCTTTTCTTTTGCCTGCATTCTTCAATAACTTTGTCATTCATCCATACAATATCAAATTGTTCTCTTCTACGAGGCTTGCTCATTTTCAAGATTTCTTTTTCCCAATTATATTCAATTATTTAGCTTAATAACAAGTTATTACTTACTAACCAGATAGAAAGCATGCACTTCTAATTATCGGGAAAAAATAAATAAAAAAAAAGGAAGCTTGACTGAGTTGGCACCACTATACAAGAGTTTGAACGGGTAACAACAACGTTTAACAGGATTTTGCGCCGTAGAGTAAAGAAGTTAACAAGAGCAACTAAAGATAGCCCCTAGAATGAAACCCACAGGATACGGCAGAGATATAATAAAATATTGACTGTTGAGAAATCAAACTAAACCGGAACTTTGGAGCAGCTATTTCTAATTCTAATATTTGGCAACAAAAAACCAAACTTTATCCAACCAGAGCACCACTAATTGCTTAGTAATTTCAATAAACCCTAAGGAAGAGATACATCAAAATCACATGAGAAGGAACGCATGAATCGAAACTAACCGGCTCGGAGTCAAGTTTGAGAGAAGGACCAACGGCTCCTTCACCGGATAAGAGATGCCGCAGCCGCAAGGGCAAGCTCGATCTTAGGGTCGCCATTTTAACTCAACTTCTGACTTTCAAAGTCTACGACAGATTAAAACAAATACCAGAAACAAAGAGCTCAGATTAAATAGGTAAAACAAAACCGGTAATAGTAAAACAAGTTCATTCAATAAAGATTAAAAGTTTATAGAGATTGACAAGGAAAACGAGAGACCTGATTCTGGAGAGAAGGGAGAAAAGCGACGGATGAATACACATCCGATAATTCGAGCATACGGAATCGAGAAGAAAAGGAGAGAGAGAGGGGGGGGGGAGAGACGAAACCCCAAAGAAGAAAGGAGTCTCTTTTTAACCCCGTAAAAGAGAAGAAAACGTATTTATGATTTGTATAATCACACATTCACTGATTCACACACCAAGGCCCGACCCCAAGCTTGAAAAGTAAAAGCGACTCTGGACGAGTAGTCATCTACTAGGGAGTAAGAAATAATTCACTGCCACGAGGATTTATTGCTGACGTTGGACGAGCGTTGTATACGTGGCAAACTCTAGCTCATATTGCTCTTTCAAATAATCATCCACGTGGCTAGATAACGTAACGGACTTGTTTAAGGAAGGAAAAGCAACAAAGCATATTCCTGAATCGTGAGGATTTGCCGAAGCATATCGGAATTTCTCTTATGCAGGAGTCACGTTGGTTGCGGGAATTAGTGCTGTCAATGAGTCGGGTTTGGTGGATAAGAAGACGTACCGAGCCAGTTCCAAACCAAACCCTGTAGGGTTATAATTGCGTGATTCAGACTAGACATGTAAGTAAGCTCAGCCTATTGAGCTCGGCACCTGGCTCAAGCAACTTACGAGCCTCATCATGTATATAATAAAGAATTAAATTTTAAATATATTTTTAGTTATATAATATAAATAAATAAATTTATAATTGAATTTCCTAATATATTTTTATGGATAAATTACAAAGACTCCCTGTACTTTGTTTTGCGACAAAGACCCCTATACTATAACCATGAGACAAAGATCCCCCTTGACCGTTAAGTCAAATGACGGAATGCGTTAAATTATCAAAATATTCTATTGAATTTTTTCTGTTTTCTTTTTTTTTGCCTTTTTTTCTCTTAAAACCTATTTAACCTATTATTTTCCCTTTCTTCTCTTCTTTTCCCCTCCCTCACCGTCTTCTCTCATTCTTTCTCTTTCCCAACTCTCCGAAATGAAAGGACAGAGGAAACCCATTTCTCATCTTCTCTTCTCCGTCTTCAATCTCATCTTTATAGTCGTCGCCAACGATGCCATGATCATGGAGAACTACAATGCTTAGCTCAACAACATATGTTTACCCATATCACTGAGAAAATCGCCCAACTTTAATCTCTTAGAAAGCTTAACTTGCACGATAACGTTATCACAGGGGCGAGAGGGAATGGGGGCAAGAGGGACTATATCTAGGATCTGCTTTGATGTAACCGGTCCTGGTCACGTACCATTTTTTTTTTTTTGCTAAGTACCTCATCATTTGACCTGCTCCCAGGAGAGGATGGTGGAGCTCCCTGGTGGCAAACTGTCTGGGGGAGAGCTATGCCGAGCTCCCTGATGGTGAACTGCTTGGCTATGTCGAGCTCCCTGATGACGAACTGCCTGGGGGAGGGCTATGTCGAGCTCCTTGATGGCGAACTGCCTGGGGGAGAGCTATGCCGAGCTCCCTGATGACAAGCTACCTTGGTGGACTCGTCATTTGACCTGCTCCTAGGTGGTCGGTGACTCAGAGAATGGGGGAGCTCCCTGGTGTAGCGCAACCCAACTGCCCTCTGCATGAGGTGATCTTCTCTCCTTTGTAGGCGGCGGGAGCTGAGGGACCTGCGAGAACTGAATCAGGGGACCTGGGGGTATTTACCCGACGGGGGTTCTCCGATGCTTAAGTTAGCACTCTGATTGTAGAGAGCTTGAAGATGATATTAGAGAAATGAGAGAGCTAGAGAGAAGGGATTACCTCCATTTTTCTTTCTCCTTGGTCTTTGGGGGTCGGAGTCCTTATATAGTGGTGTCCTGTCAAATCAGGCGTAACTGCCTCTGTCAAGTCAGGCATAACCGCCTCTGTCTCTCTATCACAGCCGTTACTGCCAGAGCTAAGGTGGCGGGTGCAGGCAGCTGTTGTAGAGTACGGCTCTGCCAGGCAAAGGACAACTCTTAGGGCTGGAAGGCACGGCGCCGCCTGGCGAGAGACGTGGGCGCAGGTCTCCGAATCTGTCAGGTACGGTTGTCAGGCAGGAGATCTTCCTGCGATATGCCAAACGCTCTTCCACGAGCTACCCTGCAAGTGGCGAGCTGCCTGGGGGAGAGCTATACCGAGCTGCTTGTGGCGGGTTGTGGCAAGCTCTGCCGAGCTACCTGTGACGAGCTATGCCGAGCTGTTTGTAAGTGGCAAGCTGCCTGTGACAAGCTCTACCGATCTGCCTGTGGCAAGCCATGCTGAGCTGTCCGTAAGTGGCA